AAAGCTGCTACTGCTGCTTGTTTTATTTAAAAATGCCTGAGCTGAGGAGAATGGGTCAAAAGTGAAGATGTCCTTAGATAAGATGATATATCGTGAGCTGAAGGACAAGACATGGGACCAGACTGAGCTTTTGGATGAGCAGTGGCTTAATCCTAGCACAGATAAAGCCCTGCCAGTTTGCATACTGAAGAGGTGTACAAAATAGGAATGAATAAGACTGTACTGCTTATCATGGCAACTGATAACAAGCTGTGAAGGCTTGACATTTCTAATGTCCCTTTCATAAACACCTGTTTGTGAATTGCAAGACTGCAAAAGGTATCCACAAATCTCACCCCCTTTCTCTATGCTTAGCTTCAACATGTAGACTGCACTAACATATTTTACAAAGTTACTTAGATCTTGGAGTAGTTCCAACTTTAAAATGATAATTAAACTAAAAATAAAAACTTAGTGTTGTTGGAATGGGAGCCCAGTTACTATCCTAGGAAGGAAGGAGAGACTTGCAAGTAGGGCAATCCTCAGGGCAAGATTCAGTGTGCATAATGTTACTATTACTAAGAGAATGCATTCTGATAATTCATCAGTGATATGTAAAGCACAATTTCAGTAATGTTTTCTCAAAGTTTATTGAGATAGAGACTCAGTCCTTGACAGTCAATTGCAATATGCACAACCACATGGCAAACATAACTATAGAATAATCAGCAGCATTATATCAGAATCATAAGCACAACAACATCAGTTGAAAACATTTAGGAGATCCTTGTAGCCATGTCCTGAATTTCCACTTTGAAGCAGTAGCACACAACTAAGAACACCTCAGGAGAGAGGAATATGTTCTAGCAATTCAATAAAACCTTGTTTTAAAGGAACCTATATGGCTTGACATCCATGTACCTACAAGACCACCAGAGATTCAACCCATCCAAGGAAGTCCTCAAAGGAGAAGTTGCTCATGGTACCCCACTCCCATGAAGTGAGGGGAGGTTGAAACTAGAAAGTATTACTTCTCCATCATTACACCTATGCTATAGAACAGGTTCCTGGTTGAAGTTCAACTGGCCTCCACTGTGATGGCTTTCCAGAAACTTTTAAAGAGTAAAATATTTAAGAGGGCCTTTAAAGTGTGATTTTCCAGTACTTTTACTCAGATATTATCTATTTATTGTTAGCTACTATATTAATGGTTTGTTCTTTTAGTGTACTATATTGTGTTACTCTTAACTGGCATGTAACATTGTACTGTACTTTATTATTTTATAATTTTTTGAGAAGCCTAGAAAATTCAGCAGCATACAGATAAATCAATAGATTCCTTATGAAAATTTATTCACCTCCAGCTTCTGGCATGCCAGAATTCTGGAATTCCATATCTCAATCTAGCCTATATTCTTAGGTGTTGTGAATAACAGACTCTTTGAATTTGTTTCAGCCTTAGAGGGGTGGGTGTGGGTGGGTCCTAAGCTATAAATTAGCAGCAATGACCAATTTAGCTCTTGACAAACATACTAGAACAGCCTTCCCCAAACTGGGACACCTCAAATGTGTTCCTCAGAACTTCCAGGCAACAGGCTTGTAGAAAATTTTAGAAGGTGGAGCCACATTTGGAGGACAGCAGGTGGGAGAGACTATATCAGACATGATATTGCAAAGTTCAGGCACACTGAAGCAATAGACTGTAACATTTCAGTTTGAGTCTCCACGTACATAATGTCCATATATGTAATATCCACAATCTTCCTTCCCATGTTAGGCTTAAATAGGTCCAAAATACCCAAATGAGCAAAATACCCCCGAGATAATCCCTGCCCCGTCATATAAATTTTGAACTGTTTCCATTACATATCCTGTGAGATATAAACCATATAGTTATATAGTTCATTTAAAAAATTGAGGCATTTAAATGCATATAATAAAATGGACCTGGGGTTTGTGAAAATGAACAGCAGAAGATGAGACACTGGAGTAGGAACAGAAATTACAAGACTGAGATGAAAGCTGCAATTTAACTGATAAGGCCGATTGTTGTTAGAAAATGGAAAATCTGAAATCACAGGAAAGTTATCAGTCAATTTCTTTAGAGTCAAAATGTTCTAATTAATGCAACAACCAATACCACCTACCCAAATTTAAGAACACAAATAGTAAATTAATTATAGCATTTAAAAATACATTTCAAATATCAAAAGTAATTAAGTTAAATCCTACTTTTCAAATATCAAAAGCTATTAAGTCAAGTCAACAGTCTTTACAAAATCCCTGTAAAACACATCACTAGTTTTCTAAGACAACCTAAATGAGTTTGTGGCTAAGGAAAGATCTGAAATAAATTCTTCTCCAGCTCTCATTCTTCTAGTGTAATCCAATAAATATTTACCCAGAAGTAAATGAGAATGTTCAGTAGTGCTTACTCTCTTGTATGTATGTATGTTAGGATTGCAAAGCTGAACAATCAAACAAACAATGTAAATTAAAAGACAGCTCAAGAAATCCCAGATCAGTGCCATAAGACAAATAGTATGATTAAGTATTATCTGAATGTCAACTGAAAGTTTAGTGGTTAATTATGCAAATGAAGCATTTAATCTTTTTTTCCTCATGGGCTACTGCATTTCAGCCTCCACATTTATTAACATTTGCCTATCATTTCAGAAACACATGGTCAGAGGTTCTAAAACTCTGCTTCACACAAGAAAGAAAAATGGTGATTTGTAGAGCAGATGAGACCAGACAACACAGAAGCTATTTTAACTCACATGAGATTTACATGCCATTAATTTGAATAATGTAAGAAGGGAGAAAATCGCAAATAGCATGCAAGGGGAGATGGCTCCATAAGAACTATAAAGCTCTGAATTATAGTGATAAATTAAGGTAGCTTCCAACATCCAATTTTAATTCCTCATACAATATTCAATCTAGTATAGACAGATAATCTAGCTGAATTGATACACATAAGAAGGAAATGGTAGAGAGTAACAGCAAGGGCAGGGATATTATCTAGCCAATTTGTGAAAACTATCCATTAAATTTTTGGACACAAAGCCGCAAAACCAAAATCTCACATTTTTCCTGTTTGTCTAGACAGAGAAGGAAGGAAAGCCCAAAGTGAATCTGAGTTAGATTGGGCTTTGAATATAAATACAACACCACAGCCCTGATGTGATTGAACTCCTGACTTTTCCAATGGCCAACCTGTCCAGGCAGAACAGGAAAAATATGAAAGTCTGGCTTAATTGTTCAACTGCATTGAAAATACTTGGACAAGAAGCTGATAAGAAATCAGCTGATTCCTTTTTAAGAGAAATGGATATGTATAGTTATGGTTTATAGATGAAAATGTCTCCCAAATGTTTACATGAACATGTAGGACTCTTGGGCACAACAGTTATTACCTCAACCCAATCCTAAGCAAAAGTGTGATCAATGCGTTTAGGAATGCAGCTGATCCCTTTTAATTTGTAAAGCCTTTAAAATTGTTCTAATTATTGGTTTACCATATCAGCAATATTAATAAGAGGGGGAAAATGTTACATAAGGGGGGAAATTGCTTAAACCCTCGTAGAATACTTTCATTGGCCATGCTAAACAGGGAGATAAAGTAATGTCTCCCTGTCTTCAGTTCAGCAACCAGAAACAAGTAATCTTTTATAATCAAGAATTACCATCCCACTCAAAAGGAATTCTTCATATGGAAAATATTTTTGTCAGTCTTAACATTTCAAAACCACTGCATTTTTCAAGGGTTTCGGTTTAACTTTGGTTAAATTGTATGATTTAGAGCAGATTCCTGAATTTATGATATCGAGACAAGAACCCCAACTTCAATTCTATCTAAAGCTGGAGAGGATGATGGGATCACAAAGTTTGAGAATCCTTCTCTTATTGGTATTCTTGTGATTCACCATGTTTTTTATCTCTGATGACATAATGCAGATTTTTTTCGAGAGGTCTTAGTGCATCTTAATTATTAACTATTTAGATATTTCTCATTTTGAAGGACTAACATGATGAATTATTGTCAGAACTAGTTGTGACCTAATTTAAGCAAGGGTTTGAGAAAATTCAAAACTTTCCCAAAGAGATACTGTGAAACATAATTAACAGAACAGTCTTCAGTTTCAGTTCATCATTGAGTTAGCAAACTAATGCCCATATCATAAAAACCACAAACATGAAATTGCTACACAGATAAAATCTCTATTCACCATCACAAACCCTCTTTAGGGCCTATTAGGATTCCTCTTTAATAATATTAGAACTCAGAATGTGCAAGAAACCTACAAACCCAAGAGTAACTGGAGCACTTGGGTGTGGTGCATAAAATCCAGCTGTTTCAGCTCAGCTCTCTTGTATTCATCTCACTTTGTTTCAAAGGGCATATGTAAAGATGAGAAAATAATTACTGAGGTTGTCCTCCTTTGTCCCAGAAAGTTTTTCTATGTGCAGCACGAGAATACTAAAGCATGCTGTACATTTACTGACCAAAAGGGATTGTCAGGGATATCTATAGCCAGTTCCAGAAGATGTAAGAAAGGGTTACAGTCAGTTTTAGTGCTGAAATCAGACACTGTAACTTGTCAGAGTGTTTGCATGATGGTGAAAACCAGGCTTCTATCCCTTTACAGGAATTGGGGGTGGGAGGAGAGGCAGCTAATGGTGGAAAGAAGTTTCTTCTCATTCCTGCCACCTCATTCCATGCACTTCATTTCTGTGTCACTAATATTCACTAGATGAACAGCTGACCCCCCCAAAAAATGTGCAAGCTTTCCCACAATTTCAATTCAGATGCTTTAAGGAATACTGTAGGAACAATGAGCTCCAAAAAGAAATCTGCAAGTGAAGCCCTTATTCAGTGATATTGCCAAGATTTGAAATGAACAATAATAGACTTTAAATAAATAGAATAAGATAATAGGATAGGATAGGATAAAACCTATTTGGAATATTTTATTTGGAAAAACCCTAGTACAAATGCATTACAGAAGTCATCTTACCTTTCTCATACAACTCTTCCATGGCCCGCCAAGTTTCTGCTCTGACTTCTCGACTGCTTTTTCCAGGGACATGTGCATCTGGCCAATGTACTAAATAAAGATCTAAACAAACAAACAAACGAAACTATTTTATTTATACTTTTCATTAATCAACCAGCCTAATGATGTGCGCAGTACATATAGTACAAAGATAAAGTCCTATTTATACAATTCCAATTCAAATGCTCCTTCTTAAAATCCAGGGAAAACCACTTTTCTAGATGGTCACAAAAGTAGCTATGCTAAGGATAGCCATGTACAAAAATAGCTTCAAACCATGCACTGCATGTAACCAGTTCCACAAACTGAGTGAAAAAGTAGCAGCCATGAGAATATTCAGTAGTGGTTGCCGTAATTTATGTAGCATTTATACAATAGGCCTGTACTAAGATGATTGTGGACAACCATCCGTGTTTCTTGTGTTTTTCAGTCATTCTTCCTCTTTTTGTAAGGCCCAGGCAGAAAGCAAAATCAAGAGGCTTACTAAGATCCCTGTATGCTGTTGCATGTAACTGCTGAGATACATTTAGCTTGATATGTTGTATATCATGCCAGGTTATTATATAATGTTAAGACAATGGCCTTAACAAATCCTTGTAAAGAAACTATAGACAGCAAACTTTGCCCTCACTGCAAACTGTGCAAATATAGCCCCTTACTTTTTTATACACAAATGAATGGCAGCCATTTGTTTAAATAGGCTCCTTCAGAAATAAAGTAGTTGTAATGAAAGAGTAGCAATTCTGTCCCCAAAGCTTCAGATACAAAAGAGCTAAAGGATACTTAAACTGGCCCTGCCAATCTAAAGATTGGGCAGAAACCAGCAAAATCTAGGAAATTCAAACTCTGAGCAATTTTGGACCAGGAAGTTTTCTCTCTTTCAGGTGAGCATTAGAAAATCTACAGAGATTGGAGAATCAGAAAGAAAATAGCCATCTAGGAAATAGTAGAACTAGGTATGGATTAAAATCCTTTTGTTGAGTTATTTTATGAATTGCCTGAAATTGTGCCCTTTTATCATGAGTCCTATTTGGCTGTACTTGTATTATGTGTGCATTCAGATATATTCCTGCCTGGAAAAGGAGACACTGAGTGAAAGCCTGCAGGAGTAAAGATTTCTTCTTTCTCTATTTTTTCTTATTATCTTCAATTCTCATTTAATTCCTTAATCTTAATTCACCCAAATAAAAGACTGGTACGTTCTTCTGAAATCAGTAGTCTCATTCTGATATGGAATTCAGCTAATTACATGTCCCATCTGCTCTGCTAGGCTATAGAAAAGGAACAATCTAAGACAGGAGGACTTTTTCCCCACTTTCTTTCTCCTTAGAAACAGTGCAGACAGAATCTAGATTGCAGCATACTAAACAGTGTGGAAGGATGCAGCAAGTTGTGGGTGGAGGGCCCAAACCACCACATTCCTAGATATACACATATACACAACCACTCCATTAGAGTAATATGTTACTATATTAGTAAAATAAATCGGAATAGTTGGAATAAAAGGACATTCACTAATCACTAAAGAGCTATGAAAATTGGGACATTCTCCTTGTATTAATTGAGACATGAGACTGATTTGATCAAAGTTATTTACTGAACCAATGAACTTCAGTCTCTATGGACCTTATCCAGGTGTAGAGGAATACAGAAAATACCTTGAAAAAAATATGGAGCAATTGTTAAAAAAAAAAAAAATCAGCTAAGCCTAGGAAGACATGAAGGGGTGAGGACAAAACTCAAGATTGGACCACCTTGGTCCAATAAGAGGGAAACAAAGAGAAACTCTATCAGGCTTTTGAGATTCTTTTATCATAGTCTATATAGTAATGTAGAGTTCTAGTATTGCTTGTGGTGTCTGTTTCCTGAAGTGGCCTACTTCAAAGGGCTTACACTGGGCTTCTATCCACTTGAAGACATAGCTCAACTAGGCTGAAGACATAGCTCAACTAGGCTGAGGTCTCTCAGTCTGAGACCTGCAATATGTTATTTCCAATTTGCCAAGGGAAGAATTATATTTTGCTCATACAGAAGCTGATAACTGTCTTGTGGGATCTATAATGCTTTTGGTGACAACTACATTCATGCGCAAATGGGTGAACTGATTTGAGGAAAGGACAAAATCCAGGGTTGCTGCTGACACTGCAACTTTCAAATAAATAGTAAGCAAATGCTTACTCATCATTTGAGTGGCTAAATGTGCAATGTCAGAGAACAGCTTTAGAAATGTATGATTTTTAAAGGTGGACCCAAATTTCATTTGACTTTTTGCACTTAATCATACAAACTATATGTTGAAATAAATGCACAGACTGAATATGTTTGCAGAAAATGATGCTTGTCTTCTAGTTTACTGTGAATAGGCTAAATGCAGGTATAGGGAGACTTCCCCCCCACACACTTTTCTCCTCCTGAGCAAAACAATCACTAAGCAAACCACAAAGCTTTTTATTTGGAATGTCATCCAAACCAGGATTACTAATTTTTCATTTCAAATAAGCCAAGAATGGGAAAATACTAACAAATTCTGGACTGCTATTCTAACACGTAAAGCAGTAACCCCACTCTGGATATGTGTAAAAATCTTACTGGAATTCTGCTTCATTGTTTCATGCAAACGTGTTCTGATTTACAAAAGCATCTCCTTTCCTCGGCATTCTAAGCCGAGGCCAAATTATATGTTAAATATCTAGGATGCTACTAAATAAGTAGTATTCTGTTAGCCTTGCAAAGTAGTCCAGACAGGAAGCACACCCAGATGAACTAATTTTAGTTTATTGTAAGGTTGTTAACAGAATCTGCAAGTCTGAAAGTACATTTCTCCCCCATCGCCTTTATAGCCCAGGAAACTAAAGAAGGTCCCCTTGGAGATGTTTGCCATACCCACATTCCTTCTGCAGGCTAAGCTGCCTCTTATCCGACCAGTCTTCTGGCTGTGGCTCTTCCCCCTGTCTCCCGAGGCCATTCCCACATACCATTACATATTGATATGTCTCTAGGCTTGATTTTCTGTATGCACAATGAGGGAAGGCTTAACCTCTTTCACTTTCCTTCCTCCCAGTAATTGCTCTTATTACATCAGGGTTTTAAATACCACCTGATATAAGAGAGCTTATATCAGCACGAGGGCAAGCAAGAGAGCAAGCTGCATGAGAAAAAAGACTTTAGCTCCTGTGCCAGAGGGGATAGCCCATGTACTTACATGCAAATGAATTGAAGTAGAGAAGTTGATACATTCTAGCATGAAGTGACTTTTGAACATCATCTTATTTTAAAAGTCATCTTAGGAACCAAAAAGGTATGCCATCACCGTTCAGGGCACACATATTTTGTACTTGGCCATATATACCCAAATATTCAAATAACACAAAGCTTGTTTCTACAGGTACTGCTTGCTTAACAATGGTTTGTTTAATTACAGTTCAAAGTTAGGTGGTTTTGGAAAAAGTGATTTACAACCTATACTCGCACTTATGACCATTGCGCACACCCCCGCAGTCATGCGATTGCAATTTGCGACCTTTTTCATGACTGTTGTTGTGGTCATTAAACAAGACTACCTGTAGTACCACTGAACAAAATAATTTTATTTCTGTTTTGTAGGATTGCTTTTAAGAACTGTTGACTGTATGTGCTATTGTGTTGCCATTTTAGCTTAATTATGTTGTTTCTTGCATGTTTATGCATCAGCAGTTCCCATGGGAATCATTTTAAACATGTATCACATGTCTGTAAAACTCACTGGAAATTATATTAATTTTCTTCAGTGGGATTTAAATGAGCAATAAGCTGCAAGTATTATTTGCTACTGATACTAAATATTATTGTAAGAAAAAAATATTATTTTGTTGTGCTATATGTACTGTAACTTTTAGCTTAGCACAATGGTTACATACTAAACACCTGACAATGAAACCAGTTTCTTCAATTTTGCATTTCTATTCAATATGGACAATCAAAAAGAAGTTACACAATGGTAAAATAGGAATCTCACATTAGGATGTCCATTAACAAACAAACAGGAGAACAAAACACATTTCAATGTGTATAGATTTTTAGCCAGCTATTCTGCCTTCTCAAGCCACACTTGGTATCTCATTAATTTTCACTGACTGCTTGTTTCCAGGCACTGTCAGGGCTTAGAAGAGAAGTTCATCTTCATTCAAAATGCAAGACTATCAGCATGATTGTTAGAACTAATATTTGCAATTCCATCAAATTCTAACACAATAAAAGGAGAGCTGTTAACAAGGACCAGAAAGCAATTCAAAACATATATGGGAGAGAATAGAACAGCTTATATATTCAGCACACAAGGTTGATGGGGGGGGGGGTGTTATCATGACATAGAGTCCAGATCCCAAGGAATGCAAGCTCTAAAGCCAAACCTAAACATTTTATGTTTTTGCAATGTTTCATTGGTGGATACCCAAAGCCAGATTATAATAATTTATACGAAAAAAGTGAAAATCATATATTTTATAAAAAGTGAGTGGAATGCATCTATTAAAATACTGCTCCCACAAATTGGTACATCTTCAATTTCTCATTGGTGTGTAATTTGCAGATGGGAGCTTCAGGATGCCCCCATGCACAGATCTTTATCAGCATAGCTTAAGACTCACAAAAGCCCAATGGCACCCGACATTTTGCGTTAGTGTTTTATTTTGGAGCAATTTCTGTTCCAGATCCACTGAATTGTATATAAGTAGAAATGGACCAACCATTTGCTGCAGTGCCTATTAATTTTGTAAGGAATTTCAGAAGGAATCCTCTGCAGATGTGCAGTGGTGTGTATTTTAACTGATGATTTTGATGATATGAGTGAAAGAACTCTTAAGATCTTATAATTGAAATGAGTGAGATGCTTTTTAAAAGTAGGACATTGTCTGAAATAGAAACACTGAACATGGACCCTCAAAGGGCAACAGAGCAGATAACTGATAAACCTAACCAAATCTAACTGCTTCTGGATAGTCATTAGTCAGTGACAACTAAACACATAAGAAGGTAAAATGCAACCCTCAGATTGATAAATAATATCCTACTGCACACACAGATGTAACAGGCTGTTGTTCGGAGACAGAGACAGAGGTCTGGCAAAGAGGATGGGAATGATTTATGCTCCAAGAGTCACTTTTTTAAGACTTCCAATTTTGAATATTCATCCCATCACAACTTTATATATGAATGCTATTTCAGTCATAGCTCCATCCACTTCTAAAAAAGTAAACTGATCCTCTGAGTAGGGTCAGTTCTCACATGCATTTACAAGAACTGACTGCAGTTTATTTCACACACTGGGAGAGGATGCATAATTCCAGTTCATATACCTCCAACTCATTTCAAACAGATTAGAAGAGAATTTCCTAGTGACTTATAATGCTCATGTGAGAGCAAGACAAAGCTTTGCAATGTCATGGGATACAAAGTGCATGTTAGTGTTCATGTAACATTTGCCTTCAATTCCTTAAAGCAGATGTGCATTTCCCCAGAATCTCGTGGCTCCCATCCAGATCTGCCATGTGATCCCAAGAAAAGCCATGGTTGCCTTCAGGACTTACAGGGAGGTGCTACATCCATGACCCCAAATACCACAAAGAATCTATTGTTTTTGAAAACAAAGTGCTGCAGAGTCCTATCATATAAATGCACAGATAATAGACAACAATTCTGTAAATCAAAAGAAAATACATTAGATTATATGGATAGGTCAAAATAATGCTGTACTTTGGAAAGTTCATGAACAAACTAAGCAGAAGTCGTTATCTGAAATCTCCAGGAGAGCTATGCTATCGAAAAGTAGAAATCAAGAAATCCAAACAGGCTAAACTGGCAAAAAAGTAAGCAGACACTACACAAACAGAAATATATCAACTTCCTCAACTATATACCAAACCATAATGAAGAATATTTGGGATGGAAATATGTCTTGAGAAGCACAAGGTCCAAATATGAGGCTTCTTTGAAATAATAAACTTCCTGAAATAAACTTGTGGTTTATTTGAAAGGGCATTAGGAAAAAAAGAGGAAGGAGAAGAGTTAGACCAATCTTCCTTTCTGCAATATTCAGCATTAGAAACCAAATTAAAATGAAAGAATAAAGACAAAAAGGTAGAGGAACTAAAAGATAGGAAAGAAAAACAAAACTATTTGTTCAGACAGTGTTTAATTACTGGCTCTTTGTTTATGAGAATATTCCTTAGTATCTGCAACAGAACAGAAACACTACAGCAGTTCAGCATCATTTTCTGAATAAAAAGGAAACTTTCAGTAAACCGATTTAACATGACAAATACAATATTTCAAGGAGGAGGAACATTTCAAGACTTTATTTCAGTTTGAATCACAACATGCTGAATAGGCTATCCATAACTATTTTAAAGTGTCTAACAGACACAAACACAGAAAAGGCATGAGTGATACTTCCTCTTTCTCTGGCTTCTGAATCTTCTTAGAAGGAGACTGGAACACATGAATGTCCTTCTGCAGTTCTCCCTGATTTGAAGAAAGTGTCCTGGTGCAACCATCATTCTAAGCTATGGCTTGCTTCACAGTAGCTTGTTGAATTTCTGGCTGAACTCACACCACATGCTAAGCCATAAATAATCATCACAATGGTTGTACTATGCCAAAACATATTGGCTTTAGCATGATATATGAACCCAACTGAAATACTGATCTTCCTTTGGGGAAGGTTTCCATCCACACTAATTTCTGATGCAACCAGAATATTAAGAATGTTTGCATCAAGCTTGACTTTTTCTCAAGTAAATTAATCACATTGCTGTAATAAGAGGATAAGGAATTGTTTGCAACAGTTTAATTATACTACTCATGAGTGTACTTCTAAGCCTTAAAACAATTTTTAGCATCTTTCTAAGAAGTTTAAATTTGAGACTCTCAATTTGTAAGAAAGTTTAAGAAAAAGCACAGATCAGTTTAAGATGCTATTAAATAGCACTAAACTTGAACTTATTCTAGCTCTGTAGAGATTTTATGACAGCATAGCAGCTAAATACAAGATTAAGTGCTACAATGTTAACAGAAGCAAACATTTAAGGTAAGGAGTGCAGAATCACGACCCTTTTTCTGAACTCTTCTCTTCTGCCTTAACTGAAAGGGGTGCCTTAAGAGAACTGAAATTAGCATTGATATTAACAATGGTTAAGGCTAAGCAGGATAGAAAAGTATTGACACTTTTGGACTTTGGCATTGGAGAAGAGTCCTGAGAATACAGGTAGTCCTCGCTTAATGATGGTTCATTTCATGATGGTTCAAAGTTATGACGGCCTTGGGAAAAGTGCACTTACAACCGTTGCAAACAATTGCACCCCCCACAGTCACATGATCATGATCTGCTATCTTTCTTATGACGATCGTTAAGCAAATCACAGTAGTCATTAAGCAAATCACATGATCATTAAGCAAATCACACGGCCATTAAGCAAATTCTGGTAAAAATGTCCATTGGGGAAGCTGGATTCGCTTAACAACCACAGTGATTCACTTAACAACTATCATAAAATGGTTGTAAAATTGGGTCTGGTCACATGGTCACTTGCTTAATGACCACCCTGCTTAACAACCAATTTTCTGGTCCCTATTATGGTCATTAAGTGAGGACTACCTGTATCATGGATAGCCAAGAAAACAAACAAATGGATAACTCAACAAATCAACTCAGTCTCAGTCAAGGTACAAATGACTAGGCTCAAATTATCACGTTATGTGAAGACCTGGATTTCTAGAGAAGTCTATAATGTTGGGAAAGATGGACTCAATTACAACCACAATGGATATAATAGCAACGGGTGCACCTGAAGGACCAGGTTGGGGACAGATCATCCAAGAGAAAATCTATGTGGTCACTAAGAGTTGACACTGACTTGATGGCACATAGTCAATCAGTCAAGGCTAAGCAGACAAATTCTCTTAATGACCTTCAAAATCCTTGTTAAGCTGCGTTTTCTTTTCTATGGTTAAGAGATCAGCCCTGCTGTATTTGCTCTGAATAATCCCCCTATTAAAAATTCTTGTTTATGATCTGGAGCAATCATAAGAGCATGCTGTTGCAGGTGATGCAATAAGGAAAGTATAGTAAACGCTCACCAAGATTTATTAATATAATAATCTGAACAGGATTAAAAAAAGGAACACCATACCTAGATATTCCACCCCAAGTTTGTTGCAAGACTCTAAGCAGGCTTGTTTTGTTTTGTCATAGCCATAATCAGCATGCCAGAGTTTGGTTGTTATCCAGAGATCCTGCCGTTCTATTCCACTCTCTTTGATAGCCTTCCGCAGGAGTGATTCACAGCCGTATCGTTTTGCCGTGTCAATATGACGAATGCCACATTTCTGAAGTGCATGTATCACTGCATCGTGGGAATAGCCACCTTCATGGGATGTTCCTTGAAACACCAAAAGAAAAGAAGTTATTCTTTTGTTAATATGCTCTGTACTTCATACAGACCATTACAGAAATATAAAATAAACTAAGTAGAACAAGCTGACTAGCAATGAAGGGCTTGTTTTATTATCTAGGGCATCTCTCTGTCACAGCTGTTTTAAGCAACTTATTTCATTACTTTTTAATTTATAAATCTACAGTGAAAAACCAATTTAAAAAGGAAAAAAATGTTTGTGAGATTAATACAATGAAATAAGAGAAGGAACAAATGAGATAAAGTAAGGTAAGACAGGTTAAAATCAAATAAAACAGGAAAAAAGTGATTTTACACATACATATTAAGAGGACAATATGTAGGACTGGGTTTTAAGCTACTTTTTCTGGCATCCTGCAAATTCAATTTTGAATGGGCATTTATTTTTCCTTGGGATCATAAGATCCTTTTGACCTCCACTTTATATCTCCTTAAATCTTTACCCCTAACTTTGCTTTTTCTGACATAGCAAATATTTTTTTAAAAAAACTTTTTGTTCTTTTTCTGAAGCCCCACTGCAGAGTCACAGATTCTTTGCCTTTCTTGAAGCCTAAAGCTACACTACATAATTATTCCACTTACACTTACTACTGTCCCTCTCCTCCCCATCTCTCTCTTCCTGTAAAACTGTTTGATGCCCAGTAAAATAATTTTCTAAAGATGCTGATCAGATAATCTACAGTATTTAACATTTTCTAACACCACCTTATCAACGGGGATCAGTTCCCCTAGCATAGCATTCCCCATTCTATGCTGATGAAAATTAGGGATTAATTCACTTGCAGGGTGCTAGGTGGAATAAAACTGTCCAAATGGTTACATTTCCACAATTATTTGTGTTACTGAACCCTGGAACTGTGTTACAGAACCCTTTACCTGCTCTGAATGAGGAAATGAAATTGTAGGTATATGCAAAGTGGTGATATATGGGGGGCACAATGTTAAATGCATTTGTTCCACCCTGGCATTTGCTGGATGTTTACATCAAGTGCAGTATGTATGGCAGCAGGAGAGGAAGTGGTTTAGCTGGGAAAAAAAAATAGCAGGAGGCCTACAAGATAAAGTAGGCTGGACCCTAAGAGTAGAAGGCTGTAGTTATCTTATCTTAGACTTTCCTTCAGCTGTTTTTTCCTGCCAACAGCCCACTTGTCTACCAGACAAGAGCTCAACATTTAGGGAAGCATGTATTCCTATTTCAATCATTTGAGTATAGCCAAAGTTTCCAAGGTCACCTGCTTGGTGTATGTTGGGTCAGCTTTTTAATTGACTACAGTACTTACTAAAACTGAAGTTCATACTCAAATTTCTATATGCAAACAGGTGGATAAAAGTTCAGCACACTGTGGGCTTACAATGTAAAAGCCATGTTTTGTCCACCCATAGTGTACTGAACAAATCAGAATTTGTTGGATTTGTACATCACACTAGGTCACAACTCATGATTTGTAAACCATAAGCTAGGCTCACACAACATGGCTGTTAGCTCATCAACCAGCTCAAACATCTTGTTCTCCCCATTATCATAAGGTATAAAGGACTCTATACATGTTTATTAGGACTACCAGGTATGGTCTGCAAAAATCTACCCAACCACTAAATGGCAGCAGAAGAGATTTTAAAAAATATATAATTCTTTCCCCCCACCTAGTGGCTGTCTGACATTTTGCAGACCAGATCTGTAGCCCTATACTTTATATAATGTAAACTAACCCTGAGAAAGGTTGTTTTCAAAGACATAACTTTACACTGCTATATTCCATTGTATTAGCCCAGTTCCTGAGATTGTCCAGTTCGTAATGTACAGTTTCCTGAGACTTAGGTTTTAATACTGCTTCCAAGCTTGGTGTCATCTGAAATTGTCATTAATTCACTCCTACTTTCCCCTTAAAAATAGATACAGGAGAGGGAAAAATCAGGTTGATCTATGTTAGTTATTTATATGAGCTAAAACATAGATATATAATTGCAAATATATAAAAGTGAGACACAACCTATATTGAATTTCTTCTGCTTGCCATCATACAGGCTACTTTTTTCCATATTTTTAAGTACAAATTGTTCTAGGAAAGAGATTAGAAATCTCTCTATGGACTGATTCATGAGAAAACCTATGAGGGACCACAGCAATGGTAGGCAGAATCATCTCCTCTTCTCACCTGCCACTGTCTTATTTCACTAAAAAAAACGCTTCACTTTTTAGATTACCTCCTCTTTTATGGTTCAATGGAAGCCAGAAAAGACACCCCCCACACACTTTTCCCCAGATTTCTCACCATTCTTTTATCCTTCCCACTATCCCTCCATATTCCCCTATCTCAACATGCAATGTGTCTATGAAATGCTGGAGCCTTTCACCCTTTTTTTTCGACTACCTACTCCCTCAGATTCTTCACCCCCACCTCCATGGTTCTATGCTAGGCAGTAGAGATGTTTTAATATCCATCCTACCCAGCATTTCCCTTTCTTTTCTCACTATGTGGTGATGAAGCTTCTCCCTCTTTCCCAAGCAACAACAGAAATGCAGTCAGAGGCAAGACTCAGAGGGCTGGTTGCAAGCAGTTCATAGGCCAAAGGCAACTCACCCCAATTCTGGGGCCATGCCTGCCACTAAAACAGCGCTAATATCACTACAGTATAGGAAACCCAATAGCCTTAATTCCTTATTTCCAGCCCTCATCATGGATGTTTTATTCCTTCAGCTATATAATTAATGGATGCAATGAAATCATAGTTAACAGGCTGCTAGTAAGTAGCGGGCCAACTGATACCTTATAATTCTTTGATGAAACAACTGATTTTTACTGCCAAAACATCAAATGACCTGATATTAGCCACTATGACTCATTTCCAATGTCCTGCAGATGTATATTTTTCCTCTACTCTCAGCTAACTCTTGCTACTAAAACTTGATGAAGATATTTATAGTTTATATCGCAGGTCCATTCACATTTCAAAAATGATTCAGAAAGCAACTCAGCTTTTTTCAGGCTTCCCCATGAGCCTGTAAAAATTTGCTGCTTCTTTAAGAACAGCATTAGCTTTAATGCATGAATGCCTTAAAGCAACATCTTTTTTTTCAACGCTGCACAAAAGTGAAGTCTAAAGTACTTCCAGATATTTTTTCAAAGTTGTATTATACATCAATATAGATGGGCCTTTATTTTGTCTATAGCACTTAACTTTCCATTTAATGTCCTGAAATCAAATCTCCTGCTATGCAATATCTATTATTAGCATTAGTCTGCCACTAGAAGGAACATTTCCATGTCAACTACTGTTTCACACTTTGAGCTAAGTAAAACTCATCTAAGAATCTATTAATAGATTAAGCCCAGTTTGTGAATAAACTACAATTGGCTAGGCTTACATCATAGCAACCCAAAATCAAGCAAACTATACTAAAGCTAAGCGTGATATATAAAGCCACTCAGTTTCAGTCTTTATGATTAATGACCTCTTCTTACTATGCTTTCTAAAATAAGTCTTGCTCTTCTTTTTCTATTACTTCTTCGTTGCTCTCGTGATCATTTTCTTGATACATGACCCATTCCTTGATTTATTTTTGTAGCTTTTAAAGATCCTCAGGCAGCACCCCTGAAATTCAGTGACAAAATAGCATTTTATTTATTTTATTTTATAATTTAATTTGGCCACCCATCTCATATACATGATTCTGGGGTGTCTAACAATTAAAACAGAGTTAGAACAATAAAAACTAAAATAAAAAACAACAAATAGCACAAAAAAAAATAGCAGCCAAGAGCACTCATAAATACTCAAACTAAGCATGAAACGGGCTCACCCATTCTATCAGGGCCCCAGGCTTGATGGCAAAGCCCAGGTTTTTAGTGCCTTGAGAAAGGCTAGCAGGGTTGGGGCTAGTCTAATTTCAGGGGAGATGATGTTCCAGAGGGCAGGTGCCACAGCAGAAAGGGGTCTCGAGACATGACACTCTCTTGCTGATAGGATCTGGAGCATGCCTCTCCTGCCAGATCTAGCAAGACGGGTGTACCCTACTAGGGAGAGATGGTCCCGTAAGTATGTGTACTATTTTTTTTTTAATTTTTGCCTCTTAAAAAATTAATTAAGCTCTAAGGCAGGTGCGTTATGCCCTAGCACATCTTTTTCATACAAAATATTTTGGTTCTCAACTCTTAAACAACACATTCAGAAATAGTTAATTCAGAAATATTTAACTACTACTGTACTTTTAATAGGGCAAATGACTTGCTTTACTAGTACTTTGCAGTAAGGTTGCATATTAGATCCATATTATCTCTTGCTTTTTCCTTATTATACACCAGCTTTTGTATGTAGGCACATATGCATTATGACACAAAATACATAACTGGCATAATGATGTAATGTGTATCATTTTCTGATCCATACAAGTGACATAAATTTCATCATTTATGTCACTGGTACAATGACACCATTATATAAAAGATGTAAATCATCATGGAAATTTGGTCTGTTTTATCTAGGTCTGGTAAATCAAGGTTTGACTGTATTCTGCAATTCTAAGTTAACGGAGAGTATGTAAAGGCCATCTGTTTTTCTTCTAAAAGTTATAAAGCAGCAGTCTATAAGCCATTATACAGGTAGTTCTCACTTAACAACCACTCATTCAACAACCATTTGAAGTTACAATAGTGCTGAAAAAGGAGATTTATGACCAGTCCTTGAAATTGCAGCCATCGCACCGCCCCCACAGTCATGTGACTGCGACTCAGGCGCTTGGCAACCAGCATGCATTTACTATGGTTGGAGCATCCCGTAGTCATGTAATCACCAATTGCAACCTTCATAGCCAACTTCTGACAAACAAAGTCAATGGGGAAGGTGGAAGGAAGTCACAAGTTGCAGTCATGTGACATTGTGCTTAACAACGAGCGATTCACTTCACGACCGCAGCCAAAACTGATGCCATAAGTTGGTGTGGTCATGTGATGTTTCACTTTGCAACC